AGATACTGTTCTATTAGTTGTTAATCCTCAATAAATCTACTTGAAATAGACAGTCATCATTTGAAACATGAGAGAACTGGCCTAAGTTAATCTAATTTTTATATGTTAGGGAGATGATTATTATATGTTAAGAAGTGATCTCCTCAAGGTTTAATGTATAAATGATTAGTAACTACATAATAAAGACACTTCTTGGAGGAAGTACCTGAGCCTTACAGAGCCCATTTCCATTAATAATTATTTATTTGATGACTAATAGCTTTGCCCATGGTGGTCAGTGCCAAAGAAATGGGAATTTTCTTTCATGTAAAACACATTAAATTTTCAAAATGCATATTTAAACCAACATTTTAATATAAAACAATTTCTTGCTGAATGAGACCAATCAGACCTAATAATCAAGATGCTGGGACAACTCTTCTGTGAGGAAAGGTTAAATATCTGGAGCTTTTTAACTTCTAAAAAGGTGTCAAAGGGAAAACATGACTGAGGCATATAAAATTCATTAAGCACATGTGAAGCAGTTGAACTTACAAGATGCAATAGTGGCTTTCAGAGGAGATTAGACATGTTCATGGAGGATATGACTAGTAACAACAACTAGACTTGAAGCTAAGGCGAATTGTAACCTCCAGTTTCAGAGGTGACTTTGGAAAAGCTCAGGAGATTATCATAGGGGAGTAAGAAATGCAAGAGAAGACTATGCCTCCATCATGTTTGCACAATCGCAGAAAGATTTTCATGCGACATTGTGCATATACTGTACTTGTCACGTTATGGAAGCATCGTGCTAGTGCAACTTCTCATTAATGACTAAAAAGTGTTAATGGCTTGCCAGTAGCGCTTCATTAGCGCTATCACGAAAATGTGAAAGGCAATCACATTTCAATAGCGCTATTGAGAATCTGTCATTAAACATTTCGGAAATAAATTTAATCCCCCAGTCTCCCAATATGTCATTTGGCAGAATCACTTCCTGTCTCATGTTTCAGATCACAGGAGAGTTCCTTATTGACAAGAGATGACCCTTTTTTTCCCCTCTCCAATCACAACCCCTTCTGTCGGCGTGCAGAATGTAGAAGTGCTATTTTACTGCTCATGAATTGTTAATGCCCCATTACTGTGACACGTGTGAAAGTAAGTGTTTCATTATCACCATTGTACCGTTCTTGCTATATAAGGTTAAAATAGCGCTATTAATGTGTAAATGGCCCTCATGTGATAATATCCTTAGTGACTTTTAAAAAAATAGAGTAGATACTCGTGTATAAGTCGACGCCATGTATAAGTTGAGGGCAGGTTTGGGGGCCAAAATCAGGGATTTTGAGATGGCCCCAGGATAAAGCGAGGTTAAAATGTGGGTCTCAGTACCCTTCTTCCCCCTCCGCACCCTGGCTGTCCCATTGGGAGATAGCTGAGCTGGGGAAGAAGCTTCAGAGATGAACTCTGCAGCCCAGCTGCACTTCCGAGGACACCGGGACTGGGGAGAGGAAGAGAGGCAAGGGTTTGCCCCCCAGCCTTTCCCTGATTCTGGTGTCCTCCTGCCTTTGGAGGACACCAGGATTGGGGAAAGGAATAGAGGCAAGCATTTGCCCCCCCCACACACACACACACACTTTGCCCAACCTGACTGTCCCTTCAGGAGTCAGCCTGTCTGCAGAAGATGCTCGATGGGCAAGCCTCTTACCATACTGTTCCATATATAAGTCGAACCAGGTTTTTGGGGTCACTTTTGGGGCATACATTTCTCAATTTATAGTTGGGTATATATGGTACTGTGTTTCCCTGAAAATAAGACATACCCATAAAATAAGCCATAGCAAGATTTCTAAGCATTTGTGCAATAGAGCGGTAAATAAGATAGGCAGCCCTTCTCATCTGCCCCATGTTCTGTGTGTGCTGCAAGCTGAGGCATAGATGGAGACATAGAAAGTGAAAGTAAACGTCTCCTCAGTGAAGTGAGGAGCAGGACGCTCTGCTATAGGTATTGTGTGTCCTCAGGGGGAAGAAGTAAAGCTGTGGCTGCCATTTTATTCAGCACTGTGGGTCTCTCTCCCCTAGCACCAACCAACCAGGAGAGTTATGACAATGTTCCAGAAGAAGACGACTTAACTATATTTGAATAAATGTAGATTGTTGTACCTTACTTAATAAAAAATAAGACATCTCCTAAAAATAAGCCCTAGTGTGTCTTCTTGAGGAAAAATAAATATAAGACAGTATCTTATTTTTGGGGAAACATGGGAGATGATTTTCCCTCCCTCAAAAACCGACAAAAATGTCCTAGAAATATCATACAATGTCCACTCAAGAACTGTGGTTAGTTGGAGGAGCCTCCTCTGTGTCTCACCAGTTGGAGAAATACATTGTGGAAGGATATCCAAAAAGACCATCTCTCTAGTAGCACCCCAGTTCTGAAATACTCACCCCTAGGAAGTTCAGCTGGTATCAATTTGGCACCCAATCAAAGCATAGCTTGTTACTGAAACCTTTGGGCTTAACTGATTTTATCCAGTTTGGGCATGTGCCATGGTTGATGCTTTTAAATTATTATAGCTAGTTTTAAATTGACTGGGTTTTTTTAATATTGATAAATGATTTAATGCATTTTTGATGTTTTTAACATTATTGTTATTATACAGTCCTACCCCCATTCTCATGGGGGATCCATTCCAGACCCTCGCCCTTTGTGAAAATGGAAAATCATGTATATTCGAGCCCTATTGGCTTGAATGGAAGCACACTCCTGTGGGCGAGTGCCCCATTTTGTCCCCCTCCCTTCACCTCCTGCAGACAAGCAAAGTTCAAGGATCCCAAATCTGTGAGAATGGAGGGAGGATTGCATATTGTTTTACGCTGATTATATTGCAAGCTACCTGAGATCTGTAGAAATAGGACAGGATACAGTAGTACTAGAACAGTAGAATGATAGAGTTGGAAGGAGTTTGGTCCACACAACCCTCCCCCCAAAAAACATATCATAAGCCTCCCCCCCAAAAAAAAATCTAAAAGAAAATGAGCTGGAAATGGCTAAGAAAGAAACTGGCGGTTGCACCAGGAACACTGGTGTGGTGCTCTTGAAGGGGTATGGGGTGTAAAATGGCTCTGTAGTTGCCCACTCCCATTTTAGATAATGAAAATAAATGCAAAATTTAAAAGCATTTCAACAAGCATGTCGTTTGAGGAAGGTTGCAAATGAGATCTTTATCTTGTTAAAGTTTTACAAACAAAATTTACTATTAGTTTCTTTATTTTATTGCCTGATCTACAGATCACCTTTCAGGGCACTGTTACCTCTTCCAAGCTGGTGAAGACCTCAGGAGAAATAATTATCCAGTACCAATAATTTTAACAACTTAAAGAAATAGCCATTTCAAACTACACTGCATCTCTCTTACATTTATCTGTTACCATTAATAAATGAATAGTAATTAAGAGAGAACAGACTGAAATAAAACATGTTTTAAAGGTTTTCTTCTAAAATATCTGAAGATTGAGCCACTTATTTCTCTATTGGGAGAGAAATCAATATTTGAATTATAGCTGGGCAAAGTGAGAAACTGGCACTGCTAGAGGTTTTTTGTTTTGTTTTGACTGTTTTGCATGTAAAGATGTTCAATAGCTAGAAGATAGTTGCCTAAATCATAATCAAAAGTTCCTTAGGGCTTCTATGGCTATGGATTAGAGCCATTTAGTCAGCACCCTCCCATTCTCTGAGACGTCAAGACCAAAACTTAGGATGGAGGTCAACCTTGGCATGGCACAGGGATAACTCTTCATGATTTCACAGTGGCAGGCCCTGGTTATTAAAGAGAGACAGGCAAGAATCAGGAGCTGTAAGCATCCAAATATCCCCTAATATATTTATTAATCCAGCCATAGTTTGATATAACAGTAGAAGCTAGAATGTGCAGATGTGTCTGCAATGGCATACATAGCACCGGAACAGGTGGTGTGAATGACACAAGGAAAGGTGTGGGGATGGACACACCTACTCTGCATTTCTGACGGAAACTGAAAGCCAAAAGATGAGCTCTGCCAGATCAAACAAGACTGGAATCCCCCTTTCATCTATTGTGTATTACTAAACACACCTTTCTGTCCTCTCATTCCTGGGGACTCCAGATCTTGTCTAGGTGTTGCAAAGTCCACAAAGTAATTGATCAAAATCAACCCCTCTCATCTCATGTATCAAAACAAACTCTCTGCTTTGGAAACCTTCTTAGGTTCTGTTGAGGAGCAATCAAGCCTTTGATTTCCCATGGAACCTCTATGGATTGGGGTTGGCTTCAAGGTAAAAGAGCACCCCAAAACTTAGCCTTTTTACTGCAGTCACATACACACACACACACACCACTTGACTGTTGCCCTCAGTGAATGTTGCCTTCAGGCTTTATTCTAAGCCCTGGGAGATTGTCATATGCACCTTATCCTGTCTTTTCCCGATAGGATAGGCATATGTTTATCTGTCAAAGATGGGTCTTATCACATTCTCCTGGAACCAGGCATATGCAGTCTGTATGAAACCCTTCTGCAACTTTTTAAGGATGAGATTTCCCATACTTGAAAAGCCGTAGGATAATCCTGGACTTTTCACATTCTCCTGGGCTGCATATGGGCTGCATACCACCCAGCCCCAGGAGAATGTGATAAGACCCATGTTTGACAGTTAAACCCATGTCTATCCCATAGGGGAAAAGATGGGATAAAGTGCGTGCAATAATCTCCCTATTCTTTTGTCTGTTCCCATCTGCTTCCTAAAACCTATATACTTAAACCTTATGGTTTAAGCCACTATTGTTTTCCTGATTTCCATGGACCATCTCTTCAGGTAGACATACCCCCTCAACCTCTGCTATCCCCTTTCATTTTTCTATATCCATTTAGCTCTGTGAACCTATTATGTTTTTTTTTCAAGATTTGTTCAGAGGAGTTTTACCACTGCCATCCTCTGAGGTTGAGAGAGGATGACTTGTCCAATTTCACTCAATGTGTTTTCATGGCAGAGCAGGGATTCAAACCCTGGTCTCCCGAATCTCAGTCCAACACTCAAACCACTATACCACACATGGCTGTGCAGAAGTCAAAATGCACTTACTCAGCAACTACTATAGTTAATGGAAATTTCCACTAGGATTAGTATTGCACACAGATTTATCTAAAACAGAACATGGTACATGGTAAATTTTCCCAGGACATATGTTGCTGTTGGAGCCAATGAAAAGCTCGGCACTGGTCCATGGAGTTTCTTACAAGCCCTGGAACTACTGTTGCCAAATACTGCTGTCACAGGAAGTGTTATGAATCATTTGCTTGCCACTCCACTTCTTGGCATGCTCCATATAGAATGATGGACCCAACTTCATGCTCCCAGCATCTCTGACCCCATTCCCCTCCCCTTGCTCTTGGATCTATTGCATACCAGTGTGCACACATATAAATAATTATCTTTAATCTCAGCCATTAAACCTGGTGCCAGCTAAGATTGGATGGATACAAGTGCCCAGGATTTTGAATCACCTCACTTACAAAGGTCAGACATTGCCCTGCTCTTCCTACAATGTTGCATATGTCATCATATGCCAGCAATGCCACAATGGACAAACTGAGGATTAATGGACACAGATCCAACATTAGAAATAGCAATACCCAAAAACCAGTTGCAAAACATTTTCACCTTTCTGGACATACAGTACAGGATTTACAGATTGTAGTCCTTGATCAAGGAAATTAAAAAGGAAGACTAGAAAGAGAAACAACTGGATTGAAGTATATTCCCAAATCCCAATCTATTAGCAGAGGTAGACAAACAAAGACAATAGGTCTATGACACACAACATATATAGTACAAGAGTCCTCACTATTGGATGTATAACAAAAAGAATCTTCTCAGAGAGAGTTTTGAACCTGGGAAATTGGCTTTTGATAAGCAGATGCATTGCTTTTACACATCAACACTAACTGTAAACATCTGAAAGAGATGTATCTCTTCACCCAGTCCCTTGAAAATGCTGGCAAGGAGCATGATTTGCATCTTTCTGGGTCCTATTACATTCTATCCTACTCCCATAAGCAGGAGCCCTTGTGGTGCAGTAGTTAAATGCCTGTACTGCAGCCACTCACTCATAAAAAACACAAGGTTGTGAGTTCAATACCAGCCAGGGCTCAGGCTTGACTCAGGCCTGCATCCTTCCGAGGTCACTAAAATGAGTACCCAGCTTGTTGGGAGGCAATGAGCTTACAGTTGTAAACCACTTAGACACTGCATAGTGCGGTATGAAGTGGTATATAAATGAAGCTGCTTTGCTTTGCATAAATGTATAAATATGCTTTATATCTGAGGCCTTAAAACCACTTGGTACTGCATCCAAAGAAGTGGGTTTATATCCACAAAAGCTCAGGCTAAAAGAAAAATCAGTCAGTCTTAAGGGTGCTGCTGGCCACATTTAATTATTTTTCTCTCCCTCCCTCCCTGCTTCCCCCCCCCCTTCAAGTATTACTCACCCTGATACTCCTACCCCATGCTAGACATGGGGAAGCACAGCAATTCCCTGAGATTTCCACCAGTGCTCTGAGACTTGGTAACTCTATATTACACTTACTGAGTGGCCTTGGGCAAGTCACACTCTCTCAGCTTCAGAGAATGGCAATGGAACTCCCTCCCCTTTTATGAAACTTGCCAGGAAAACCCCATGATAGGTTTGCCTTAGGATCATCGTAAGTCAGAAACAACTGGAAGGCACAAAACAACATTTACACAGGATGGAAGCCCATGCCTTAGCTTCTTTACCATTAGCTAATGTACCACTACCGGTACTTTTGTACCTGAGAGATCCCCTGACAGTGTCACCCCACCTTTCACTGCTGCTGCTCAGTAATTATTTTGCAGATGTGTGGCTCCTGAGCAAAAGCCCATCTGACTTAGAGTCTATGCCAGAAGCAATGCTTCTCACTGCATTGGAATACACAATCCCACCATCATGGAAAGGTGGTGCCAAGGTAGGTCAATGGCACTTACTCCTGGGTTATTGTCAGCCAAGGATTACAATGTGAGGTTTGAGCAATGGTTGCTCACAGGGCATCCATGTTATTTAAACACTAGCACTGAGTGCCTGTCTGGCTTCCTGCTTGCTCATCCATGCTCAGTTTATGTATTTATAATGTAATGGTTATCACACAACCCCTAAAGAAACACCCATCAAAACCTCTGTATGTTTTCAGTATTGTGAAGGCACAGTGGCATATATTGTACAAAGTTACCCCACTGAAACTGATCATTGCTAAGTCAAAGTGCGGAATGAACGAAATAAAATTTATGGAAGAACAAAATCCAGTGTCAAGGATGTAGAAGAAAGGGAATCCTCTCTTCCTGTTGTTGGAAAATATTCCATAATTACAGCCACCAACCCTTCTTCCTATGTCATGCCTCATCCTTCCTAAGAAGTCAGACACAATATATTTAGTTAAGTGTCAAAAACGAAAAGGTCCTATTTTTTCCTTTTAAATGGCACAGTTGTTTAAGGAAGCAAGGTTAACAGGGCACAAGTCTGTGTGTGCTCAAACGTGTCAGGGATGTGCTTTCCGGGGGTCAGGCTTTCATTTGCCTCTCTTAATTCTCTGTTGCCTGTTAGCCGCCCTTCATTGTCAGCCTTATGCCTTAGTTGGGCACACTCCCGATTCCCCACTCTAGCCAGACACTCCATGTAAATAGTGTTTATGTTAAGGAAGTCATGTTCTTTGAGACTGGTGCACATTGAAACTGATGTTGTTGTCACTTTAGATTAAGATCTCAGTCTAGCAAAGGAGGCAATTGGAGCAGGCAGCCGAGTGGCCAAATGAAATATTCAGTTCATTTCATTTAAAGCTGCCCTTGTCTTCATTGTTCCAAGCTGGCATGGCTAGTTAACCCTTGTTGGTGCCTGTCTCTCACTTTCTCTTTCTCTTCCTCTTCCCACCTCTCAGCCCCACTTTCACAAAATCCTTCCTGCGGTCAAGCTGCATTTTGTGGAAATGTGAGATCAAGCCAACATTGGGAGTCAACAACATGGGATGGGGGGTGGGGGAAGACATCTTGGATTTCAGAAGAAGTACCGTAATCTTTTTTGTATTGGTAATGGAATTCAATTTTATCTTCTGGACTTTGGAATGCTTTGCTCCCCATGCCAGAAGGAGGAAGGGGCCTGCCTGCATACTTATCCCTCCACAGAACAACACACCAACAACACTTTGAGAAAATGCAGGCCTATGAGTAACATCATTTTTTAAAAAATTATCCGATATGATTTGTAACACCTTTGTCAGATAAAGAGACAATTCACCCTTAGGGGAGAGCATAAAAAGGGTGGTCCAAAGAGCCTGGAACTCAAGCATTGTAAGAACAAATTCACATCCTGCCCCAAAGCCACCATTTGTCCACACCTGCTTTATATAAAAAGTAACTGTGGACATTATTTAATTTTTAAAACATGCCCAGTGAGCAGAAAAGTGAATGGCAAAAGTCTTGCCCCTTCCAGAGCTTTAGAATTTGAAAACCGTTTTTGTTTTTTTTACCTTTTTATAAATTGCTAAAGTGACTTTAGCAGCAACACTATCAGCAATTTTAACAGGATACCAGTGTAATGCATCAGAGAGAGCATGGGGATTTTAATACATTCAAATGCCCACTCTCAATCTCAAAGCTCAGCTGCTCAGAAAAGACTTTACAGCTAAACCTATGTTTCAGTCTGCGTTTTTAACACTTCAAGCAGTGGCTGTGAGACAAAGCAGTCCTACATATATGCAACTTGGCAGAAGTCTTCCTCTAGGCTTTACATTTTCCAAACCTACTGAAGTCCCAGTGCCAGAGTGGAAGCTTAGTAGTTATAGCACATGCTTTGTATTGAAAAGGTCACAAGACCAATCCCTTGCACTTCCAGCATAAAAAGACCTTGAGCAGTAGGTGATGGAGAAGACCTCTGCCAGTCAGAACCAAAGCTCCAAACTCTTGAATTACGACTCCTAGAATCCCACAGCCAGCATGAGAGTTATAGTCCCAAAACCTATATTTCTGAACACCCATCAGGAAAAACAATATTGGGCTATACGCATCCAAGCTCAATTTTCTTTCCTTTCAACCCTGTATATATTTTGGTGCTATGTGGCATTGTTAGGCAATACTATTTCTGTGATATTTTTAGATCTTCTTTTGCTGTAGTGCTGTTATCTTCTGCTGCTTTTAACTGATTAGTTGTTTTAATTTATTGTTTTATAATGCTGCTTTTGAACTGATTTATATTGATTTGGAATTTAATTGTGTTTTTACCATATGTTGCCCTGAGAGCTATTTGTTGTAAATCTTAGATAAAAACAAATAAATTAAAATAAATATTGCAGTCTGAAGTCAGCATAAGGTGGAATCACTGCCTCTCTCTACACACACACATGCATGCACATGAGCGTGCAAAGACACAGACACATACACAAGCCGCACCTACACTTAATGGAGTGCAGACTTAATGGAGTCTGACACCACTTTAACTGTCATGGCTCAATGCTATGGAATTCTAGGATTTGTAATTTTGTGGTATATTAAGCCTTCTCTGTCAGAGAGCTGAGGTGCTACCACAAACTGCAAATCCCAGGATTCCATAGGATGGAGCTAGGATAGTTAAAGTGGTATAAACCAAACTGGTTTGTTAACCACCTTTGAGTCGATCCTGACTCATGGCAATCCTGTGAATGAGACACCTCCAAGACTCCCTATCCTCGACTGCTCTGCTTAGGTCTTGCAAATTCATACATATGACCTCCTTAATAGAGTCCATCCATCTAGTATATGGTCTTCCTCTCTTTCTATGTCCCTCCACCTTTCCTAGCATTATTGACTTTTCCATTGAGTCATGATAACAAAAATCTCAACTTTGTCATCTTGACTTCCAGGGAGATTTCAGGCTGAGCAAACACACACTCTCAGCCTCAGAGGAAGACAAGACAAATCCCGTCTGAACAAATCTTGCCAAGAAAACCCCATGATAGATTTGCCTTGGGGTCACCTTAATTCTAAAATTATTTGGAGCTCCACAAAACAACAAATA